AGCAGTTGCAGTCAAGACAAATCCCAGCCTGGTTAGTAATCCAACCTCCAGTATTAATGAAATTGTGGGTCACCAAAACTCATTAAAAGTTTCACGTTTTTACAGTGGATTTCCATTCTTCACTTTCTTTAGAATTGGATTTTATTGTCACATGTAATCAAGTACAAGGATACTGAAGTACAGTGAAAAGTGTCCAAAGTCGCCATTCTCCAGTGCCATCTTAACGTACAAAGGTACCTAGGTACAAAATCCTAGGTATAAAGTTGAAAATAAAGAATTCAAGTTAAAAGTTTAACGTTACTGTTCTTCTTAAGTGCTTAGCCGTGGGCCTGGATCTGGGCTCTTCCACCCCGATGCTGAGACCATCGCAAGCACGAGCCCCCTTGCCACACTGCTGCCGCAAAACCATGTTGTCATTCTTCAGTGCCATCTTGCCTCTACCGATGACGTTGCAACCACGAGACCATGATGAGTCAATCTCGGCAACGCAGTCACCGAAGAAGATGCCAGTTGCTCTCCAGAGAAGGTAAGCAAGGTTAAAAGTCAGAGAAAAAAAAACAGCAACAGAACAGAAAAGTCCACACTGAGCTTCGACTTGGGTCTGCGCTGGCTCAATTCATCACCACTGATGCCCTTTGAGGGCAAGAGGCAAGTGGAAAGGAAAATGAATAATGAGAGGAAAAAAAAAGAAACGGACACCTAGTCATGGACTCTCTTGGAAGCCACTCCATCACATACTGCCTCACCAACAGCTCACGTGCTGGTAGTTCAAATGTTTTCCTTTACATTCCACTTGCTTCCTGAGGCCGCACTTCAGAACCCATTCAAAGGTTATAATTCCAACTGTTTCTCAGTTAGCTTCACCAAAGTGGTGCTGTCCCAGTTTTCCCAGAGCTCCAAAGTTTCTCCAATACATCCAGAAATTACTGCTTGTACCCTTCCTTTGCTCCCACTCTTAGCAGCACTGAACAACGAATGGTTCATTCAAAGCTTCTTCTGAGCCCTAAGCCAATGCAGAACCATCAGCTTTCTGCTGGCTCCCTCAACCTCTCAAATCCAACTGCCTGGAGATTGTTAATGGCAGCAACTTTTCACAACAGAACCTCTTTATGAAGTAACTCGTCAATCTACTCTTCTCAAGGATTTTGACCAGTTTGCTCAATCTTTCCTAATAATTAACTTGTGTTATTATATGGTGAACAAATGTCTAACTCGAACTTCCTGTACATCAGCCAAAGGTCCATGACAAGAGACGCCGCTGTAAAAGCCACAATCATAGGATGTAATGTAGTATATTGTGACAAGAAGACGGCAGGAGGCAGAGCATTTATTCTGCATGTTTGAAGATTAGCATCTTAAAAGTCAGTGACTGCGGTTCCAGCGAGAAAAAGAAGGCAAAGCTGATATGGGAATAGTTGCTTGAGGAACTACAGGGAGACAGATGCAGTAGTCAACAGAGGTAGCAAGGTAATAATAGGGTCTTGCAAGATGTGTGCAGTAGACCACCTTATGAAAACCAGCTATACGTAGATCTAAAACAGGGTGAGAAGGAAATCCTTTGAATCCGACAAGTTTTTAAAGGTAGAAGTTGTGTTTTTCTTCAACATTATGCACAAAACAAAAAAGATATTTTTGTTCTATACCATCCTACAAAGGAGATGTCGCAGGTAGATTCTGATTCTTGATAGTATAAGTCAAGTGCTTGCATATCAGTAACCCACCTTCCATTCCTCCCAAGTTTTAATCAGGCCTTGGTTCAATATTCCTTCCTAAAGACATCACCTCTGACAGTACTGCACACCCTCAGTACTACAACGAACTGTTGAAATGAGGTGAAGTGAGAGTGACAGCCCTTGACATCAAGGCCACATTCGATCAAGTATCAAGGAGCCCTATCAAAACTGGTATCAATTGGTATCAGGGGCAAGCTCTCCAGTGGTTGGAGCCATTCCTGGCACATAGGAAGATGGTTGTGGTTGAATAAGTCATGTCCTGACTGCCCTAAGCCAGTCCACCATCTACAAAGGTACAGGTCAGGGGTGTGATGGAATACCTCCCACTGACCTGGATGAGTGCAGCTCCAACTGCACTCAAGAAGCTTGACACCATCCAGGACAAAGCAGCTCACTTGATTGGCACTACATCCACAAGCATCCACTTCCTTCACCACCGACACTCAGTAGTAGCAGTGTGTACTATCTACAAGATGCACTGCAGAAATTCACCAAAGATCCTCAGAAAGCACCTTCCAAACCCACGACCACTTCCATCTAGAAGGACAAGGGCAGTAGATATATGGGAACACCACCACCTCCAAGTTCCCCTCCAAGTCACTCACCGATCTGACTTGGAAATATATCGCTGTTCCTTCAATGTCATTGGGTCAAAATTCTGGAATTCCCTCCCTAACGGCATTGTGGGTCAAGCCACAGAAAGTGGACTACAGTGGTTCAAGGAGGCAGCTCACTACCAGTATCTCAAGGGCAACCAGGGACAGGAAATAAATGCTGGCCAGCCAACAATGCCACATCCCACAAATGAATTTTTAAAAAATAACTCCACAGAGGCCAGTATCCATTCACCAAGTCACCCTTTATTTACACATGGAGAGTCCTTGACACTGATCCAGTTCTCAGAGTGAACAGAATGTCTGACACTCCAGTTTATATCTGTCAGCCAGGGCTCCCTGATTGGGGCTGTAAACCTGGTCCAATCAGGGAACTCACATTCTATGACGTTCACCAGGCTGACCTTATTATAATCACTACAGGGACCATCTCAAAAGCTTTTGGAAAATCCAAATATAAATACATTTATTCGCTTTATCAATTATAAATTCTCCTAAATTTGTTTTTAATAGACCTATATTCATCTAAGACAAACATTTCATTTATCACACAGCTGTAGAAGCTTTTACATTCCATTCTCATGTGCTTTGTTAGGTTGAATTCATTTTTTGCATTTTTTTCTTATCAGTTTTTTGGGCCTTTCTTGCTGCATTTTAAGAACTTCATAAAACCTCAAAATTATTCCTATTTCTGGCCATTTAAAGGTTTTTCTTTTAGTCTTGTACAATCCTTAATTTCCTTTGTCAGTCATGATTGACTGATTTTTTTTTTGCATTTCTTGTAATTATAGATGGTGAACGTACATTGGGAACAAAAATGACAAGTTACTTGCTGCAGAGTTCCTAGCCTCTGACCTGCTTTTGTAACCACAGTTTTTATATGGTAGTCTAATTTAATTTCTGGTTAATGGTAACCCCAGTGAAAGATTCAGCAATGATAATGCCAATGAGTGGCATGGGACATTGGGTGTATTGTATCTTGTTTGAGAAAATCATTGCCTGTCACTAGTATGGCACAAATATACCACTAATCACTAGCCAGCCCAAGGCTCAAGGGTGTTCGGGTCTTGCTACACATGGATACAGGTTGCTTTAGTATGGAGGGTCATGAATGGTGCTGAGCATTGTTCAGTACACAGCAAACATCTGACCTTATGATAGAGGTCGTTGATGAAGCAGCTGAAGATTGTTAGGAAGGGTTCTTGTGGCACAGTGGTAATGTCCCTACCTATAAACCAGGAAGCCCATGTTGAATCCCACCAGCTCCAACAGTGAAACATAGTATGTCTGTACAGGTTGATTAAAAATACCTATTCCGAGTGACCAGTGCAATGTTGCTCTGGAGCTGAGATGATTGACTTCCAATAGCCACAAGAATCTTCCTTTGTGCTAGATAAGATTTCAACCAGCAAAGATTTTTCCTCGGAGATAGGAAGAACTAGAATGAGAGATAACACAGTATGGAGCTGGAGGAACACAGCAGGTCAGGCAGCATCAGAAGAGCGGGAAATTCTACATTTCAGGTC